GGTTGATGGGAGGGGTGGGCTGCTGGGCAGGTTGCCTGGACCCCTAACCATGGCTGACTTGCACAGCCCTGATGTGTCCTGAGGGGTCCAGGCCCACAGCATCTCCTCCATCCCATCCCACCGAGAGCCTTGCCCTGCCTGTTGCTGAGTCTGCTGTAGGCTTGCAGAACATCCTTGTTTCCTCCCACCACCCTCATTTTGCTTTCTCTAGTTTTGCTTTGATTCGGCTCTAAGGTTTCTCCTTCTCTCTCTTCCTCCCTTTGGCGGGATGTGCTGCTCGAGGAGGATGCCAGCAGGCCAGATCCTGGCATGCGGGGGCTCGGAGGGTGAGCGAGGCAGCCTGCAACCTGCAGCCAGGCAGGAGCCCTGGACCTGTCCGCTCCACCGCCCTCAAGACCAAACCCACCGCCCATGGCACTGGGGCAGAGCCTTGTCGGAAGGGGCCGAGCTCTCTCCTTACACCTGCAGGGACCATCACGAGGCCTGCTAGATGAACAGGGAGCCCAAACCCATTTGGGGTGGTACCTGCCTGCATCTTCACAGCCACCTCCTCCCTTCAATCTCTCCCCATTGCTCAGCATCCCTCTCCATCCCAGAAGTCCAAGGGATGATGGGGCAATGTCCCCTCTCTACAGTCCAGCTTGGGCGTATCCCCATTTCCAGAGGATCCCCTTTGCCTCAAATCCACCCTGGGACAGGTGGACCTCTCTACTCTAAGGGCTTGACTATGAAGACAGTCCAGCCTGAAAGGGATCCTACAGCCATTGCTTGTCCCTAGAGGTGGTGGGTTTCACCATGATGGGGTGACAAGCGTTCGTCGTCAACAGCGGCAAAGTGGGAGGGGGACAGGGGCGCAGAGAGCTGGCATGGAGCCATGTCCTGGGAGGATACAGACGTCCAATTCACCATCTGCTTCAAGGAAGGGGAAAAAAGAGGATCCAGGAAACTCTAGATGAGTCAGCCTGCCTCCGTACCCAGAAAACTGCTGGAACAAATTAGTAAGGCCACCAAGTGGTAAACACTGAGAGGGCAGCGCTGGGGCTGAGAACACAGATTTAGCAGGAACACGTTGTGTCAAACCAAGCCCATTTTCTCTTCATTAGGGCGATGGGCTGGGTACCACAGCGAAAGCGGGAGCGATGCTATCTTCGTGCTGCCTTACGTGAAATTCTCATAAGCAAATTAGGGAAATGGGAAATTCTGCCACTGTAGGTGGATGGCTACCCAAGAAGCTATATCCCATCAGCAGTTATCAATAGCTCGTGATGGCAGACACATTAAGCAGGGGTTTTCTGGGGAAGCATGGCACAAATGAAGGCAATATGCTATTGAGGGAGGGTGTAGGGGCTGTCTGGGAGGAGGGTTAGAAATCAAATTCACCCTGTTGACCTGGAGAAAAGAGGAAAAATGCCCTGAAAGAATGACTGATGGAAAAGAATTGGGTGTGTTTAATGCAGGAAAAGATGAGGGAAGTCTTCAGAACAGGAAAAAAGCCCTGGTATGAAGTAAGCAGTGAAAGACAGAAGTATTTAGGGTTATGCCCTGTTGCTGAGATGGCATCCATCTGCCTTGCAAGCCTTGCCGTGCCCACAGACACAGCATCCCGTTGCTGAGGGGATGTCCTGCTCTGCGGTCCTGCCTGGGGACAGGGGTTGAACGTCCTTTTCTGCCCTTTTTGGGAACTGCTGGCAAGATGGAGCCACCTGGGTATGGGGTGACCCCAAGGGGAAGGGATGGATGT